TCTTCCTACACTTGGTTCCTTTCTCTAGTTTAATAATAGTCTACTATTGTTACTTTAAAGCTGTCTTTTTAAAAAAAGATTATATATGTCAAGGAAAATATGTGGCACTTGTCTTTCTAAGTCCGGCTTATTTCAATTAGCGTCCTAGCTCCATCCACTTTCTTGTAAATGACCTAATTTTGCTCTTCTTCATGGCTGAATAATACTCTGTTATGTGTACAGATCACCTTTTTTATGCATTTGTGGACACCTAGGCTATTTCCATATCTTGGCTGTTGAGAATTGTCTCACACTAAGCATGGGCACGCAGGTATCCATATAATATACTGGCTAATTCCATTATGTATATACCAAGAAGTGGTGGCACTGAGTCATATGGTAGTTCTATTTTCAGTTTCTTGAAGAATTTCAGTATTGATTCCCATAGTACCTGTACTAATGATGTGCATTCCCAGCAGCAGTGTATAAGTGGTCCTTTCCTCTATTCTTCTCACCAGCATGACTGGTTTTTGTATTCTTGGAGGTAACCATTCTGACTGGGGTGAGATGGCATATCGATGTGGTTTTGATCTGCATTTTCTTACTGCCAACATCTTTAAAATTTTACTTTGAGACAGGGTTTTGCAAAGTTGCTGAGGCTGCTCTCTCACTCTTAATCCTCCTGCCTCAGCCTCCTGAGCTGCAGGGATTAAGGAGTGGGTCACTGTGCTGAGTAATGTTTATCTGCCTCACTAGGGGCCAGTCCAGACTCCTTCTAAAGATAGTTTCATGTCAACTATAAGGTTCATGAAGGGCTTCCTCTCATGAAAAGTTACTTTACTCCAGAGTAATATACCCTTCTTACCTACAGTGAAAATTGCTGCAGACTGGCTAGGGGATATGAACATATTTTATAGGAATACACAAGAAACCTCATCAAGAAACAGACTGCATTTTTGCATGAAAGAATTCCACTGTATAAGCATGTCAATTCTTCCTAAATTGTTTTGCATATCAGAATAAGGTCCAGATAAATTGAACCATTGTACATTTTTCAAAAATCTGTTAAAATTAGATTATAACTAATCCCGTTAGCTAAGCTGTACTGGAAATAAATAAGACATTCTAATATACAGTAAAAAAAAGAAGAAAAATTGACGATATAAAGTTATCATCACTGTATTTAGAAGAAATCCAAATAAGGTGGTTAAAATGCTGAACAATATAATAGCATAAACTTAATTCTTAATAATCCTTAACTTAAAGAAGAGCTCATACAAGTACAAATGAAACAGAAAGGATTCAATATGTAAACAGATGAATATTTGGACAATTACTGAAGAAATAATACTACTAGTAGGTAATTACAAAGAAAGTGTTCAAACTCTACTAAGCAAAGGAGTTCAATTTTTTTAAATGAGAGCATTTTTTTCTTTCCCAAGTAGAGTTGTTCCAAAAGTAAAAATAATGTACTGGTAGGTGAAGTGGCTACTTTGACACACCCATGGGAGAGAAATGAATAAGATTTTTGCACTGTCATTCATAACCTTTTAACATAATTGCAATGTTTCAGCACAATGATTCTATCTGGGGAAATTCATTCCAAGGAAATATAATAGTAAAATTTGTATAAAGTTATTAATTGTGGCACTAATTGTAAAATACAAAATTGGTAACTTGGTCATTCAATAGTAGAGTGCACTTACTCTATAGAACATTACGCAGTTATTTTAAAGTAACGATAACATGGAAAGGCTTATACTAGCACATAAAAATACAAATAGTAAAATATTTCTAGCTTGACTGATAACTAGAGAAATGATGAGATATGACTATACATCCACCAGATTGGCTCAAATTGAAGGAATTTATAATATCAATGGTGACAGGCACGTGGTATGAAGAGAATCCTTTTACATGGCTGACCAGAGCCTAACTGGTACATCTGTCTGTCTGACACCATCTAGCAAAGGTGAAGACATGCACACATAGTGACCCAGCCATTGTGTTCACAGGTATGGAACCCAAAAAAACCACCATACAGTAATGCTAAGGTCCAAAAACACAAAAGGATGCTGATGGCAGCACTGCTGGGAATAGCCCACAGGTGAGAAGGTCCATCTCCGCAGAAGGGGTAGAGTGGATTATTACGTTGAGAGACAGAACACAATTAAATAAACAAATGAGTGCTAAAAGTCACAACACAATTGTTTTCAACAGCATAATTTTGTGAATGGAAGAAGAAAATTGTAGAGTATGTGTTCATTCCCAACAATGGGAGTTTAGGCAGGAAGATCATGAGTTGGAGCCCAGCTTGGTGGCCTGGGAAACCTACTGACTTAGAGAGAACTGGCCTCAAAATCAGAAAAAGGGCTGGGGATGTAGCTTGGTGTAAAGGCCCTGAGTTCAATATCCAGTGCTGCAACACACACACACACACACACACACACACACACACACATTTTCTTCTCAGCACCGAGAAAAAACAAACCCTGCCAACACCTTACTTTCAGACTTCTAGTCTCCAGAGTTGTGGGAGGTTAAATTTCCATTGTTTTAAGTTGTCCAGTATGTGACACTATTATGGCAAAGGATATATTACATTTTTATATTAAAATATTTGCAAAAGTTCCCAAGAATTTAATTTACTGGCCTAATTTCTTGAATAAATTATAAAAGATAAAATCAAAATATAGTCAGATCATCCCCTCTTGTATATACCCTGAAAAGTTACTCTCAAAGACACAATTTAAGCACAAACCAAGGCACTCCTATTCAGAAGAGGCAGCTATGCTGTATATCTCATGGTATCAAGAGGTCAAGGGTCAATTGTACATGCCCAAGACCATTAAAAACTGTTAAGTCTGTGGCTTGTTCCAAGCTGGGCTGCAAAAATTTCATCCTTATCCTTTGATGCTCTGCCTTCCTGGCAATTCTCCAGCGACCAAAGCGACCTCACACACTGCTTCTGGGAAGACATTCTTATTCATTCCATTTCACTACCTGGCGAAGATCTGACTTGAAAGGAGCCCTGGTCCAGACCTTCTCAAGGCAGAATACAGATGAATACAGAGACCAGCTTTGATTACACCTCGGCTTTCTGCAAGACAGGAGCAGAGGCAACCTGAGCGCGGGGCAGGGTGCTCTTGGAAACCACACTGGAGGTTGGTTTTGTACAGGATCCTGACCACGTTCCCGGGAACATGAACTTTCCAAATAGGTTTCATATGGGCAGGGGAATGCCACAAATAAGAGTATAAAGCAGCAATCCATGAAGAATAGAGTCTTTAAATTTAAAGTGCAACCTTATTTCTCTGCTTTTTAGCTTTGCTATTACAAAGAAATGGAATGCACAGAAAATTTTCCCGCAGAAGGCTAATATTGAGGCAGAATATCACAGTAATGAAGGATGTGAAGCCAGACTGTCTGCTTTCAAATCTTGATTCTCAGGCTGCTGACTAGCTTAGTGGACTTTGAGCACATTGTTTGCTGAGCAAAAATTTCCTCATCTGTAAAATTAGGACAACTCTGCACATACTGCAAAGAGTTGTTAGAAAGATTTGATGAGGCCATATAATGAAAATAATTTATCTTAGAATGTTACACATGGTTAAGTGCTAATAAATACAGGTATCAGAATAATGATAATAATATTTTGAGAATTAAACTTGATGTAGCTATAAAAAATTTCTAGTAGAATTGAATATAGTCAAACCCTAGGAGTCATTTGGTTCAACTCATTAAGTTAGACAGGGAAGGAAAATTTCAGCTTCTTCAGTTGATCATTCTAAACTTAAAATTCTTCATCAGAAGAATGGAACTCACTTTAGTTTCCTGGTCTGTTAAGTGAGTGGGTTGGACTGATTAATTTCCAAACACACACACACACACACACAACCCTAATATTTATTTCTAACATCCTTTGTCAACCATAAGTCAAACATGTTATAGTTTCTGAATTGTTTTCTTTCTTTCAATACTTTTCTTTTCTTTTTTGTTTTTGTTTGTTTGTTTTTTGAGACAGGGTCTCACTATGTAGTTGAGAGTGACCTGGAACTCACTAGGTAGCCCAGGCTGGTCTCAAACTCACAGAGATCTTCCTGCCTCAGCCTCCCGAGTGCTGGGATCACAGGCGTGCACCACCACACCTGGCTGCTTTTACCCATTTCATTGCAAAATGTGACCCTTTGGCTAGTTGGTGGCTAGAGATGCAGGTGTGTGTGTGTGTGTGTGTGTGTGTGTGTGTGTGTGTGTGTGTGTGCTGTATTCCACAGAAGCTTCACAGACTCAGACACCTCTAATACTCTGATTTTGGCCAAAGCCTGGCACTTTCCATGGCGCTGAAGTTGGCCCACAACAAACTTCAGGTTCACTTGCTCTGAGAAAGAAGAAAAACATTACCTGTGAAACACTCAACAGCATTGCTTTTTTTTTTTTAAACCACTTGTATGAGCCTCAAAGTTTTCAATATATGTAACCTTTATTTTTAATGGTGTTTGGTATCTTATTGATAAAAGCTTTTTAGTTGAGGAAATCACTTGGTGTTTCCAAATGTACCTGGGACTTCGGAACTGGAATTCAGAAATAATTTGTCGCCTGCCTTTGGTCCGGAGCCCACTGGTCCCTCTGCCTTTGGTCCGGAGCCCACTGGTCCCTCTCCCGGGGATTTTTTTTTTTTTTTTTTTTTTTTTTTTT